AAAATTCAATAAAAAAAGTTTTTCTCCCTGATTTTTTAATATGATTTCCCAGATTACATCCTCTTCAGGCCCAATACAAACGCTTGCTTCTTGACCAATCAAATGTTGCTGCTAAGATCCAGAGGACCAATAGAGATGCATCTTTGTTCCTCACTAAAAAGGAAAGCTCATCCCCAGAAATAGATAGAATTCATGAAAATGTAATCTGAAAAACGAAAAGTAGGATTAAATTAGGAAAAAATAAATAAATAAATAAATAAAAATATATATGTATATTCGGGGAAAAAAAATCTAAAATTAAAGAAAAGAATTTCAATTATTGTCATTACATTGTCAAAGGTACAATGAAATTTATACAGCAGTTTATATAGTTGGTGTCAGGAGACGATCAGGAGGGTGAAAGCTGTGAGGAAGAAAAAAAAATGAAAATATAAAGTCTGTTTTTTTTCAATCTGAGAATCAGCAGTTACTCTCAGAACCGAACTGTGATCATACAAAGAACTTGTAGAGTAATGTTAGATTAATTGTTTTTCTGGATATTATCAATAGAAAATTAAAACTGGGGAGTCAAAAAAAGTGAACAGAAGATGAATGATAAAATATTTGTAAAACACAAAAATGTTTAGTTCACTTCAATGGAGATTATTCACCTGGACAAACCTTTTAAAATTCTTTATAACTCCAAAAATAAGCATTTAAATTAATAAAAATCCCAAGTTTGGCATTGATGGAGACTACTTTAACGTATTTTCGATTTCTCTCCCATATTGCCCCCTACTGGAGCAAAGACATGATCGCCAATAGATCCATTATCAGATTAAATTTTAACTTTATCTTTATACATTTTTTTGTTTGTTTCTTTTTTATGAAAAATAAAATTTAAACTAGGGAAAGCTACTGCAAGGTTGGAGGTTTTCAATTACTAGATTTAAAGGCTTTTCCGAGCTTTTCAACATAATTATACATTACTTTAATTTTTACTCTTTTTTTTTTTTTTTTTTTGCTTAATTTTACATGTCCCTGGTTTAAAATCCCCTTCCCTGTTTCAGCATCGCTTTCCCACCCATTGCTGTTACCGTAATCCTCATATTGGACTAACTCTGATGGAACCGTTATTCTATTAAGCAGAGCGGTTGTGCCACAGACCCAAACCAAGTTTGTTAGGCGGTGGATATTAGCTTTTAATATGACCAAAAAAGTTAATTAAAAACAATCTACTGGACTTTGTTTCCAAGTTTGAAGACGTTTCGCTTCGCATCCAGCAAGCTTTCTCAATTCGAAATTCGATCAATTCAAAAAAGCTTTTACTGTTGTCGTTTTTGTGTTTACTGCGTGCAGCCTTACTATTTACCCTCAAGCTGCAGCAACCCTGTACTGAGAGACCATTTAAATTGGCTCTGATCTATAATGTTCTAGTTTTTTATTATCTGTCTGTTCATTTTACTCGACGTTGTACCCCCTGCTGGGATGTTTGCGGACTGTAATACACTTCTGGGCCTCAACTTCTGCCACATGCATTGCAAAGGAAAAAAAATTGTTAAACTCTGTTGATGATCCAGATCATGTGAGAGTTTTAACTGTAGGAATTCAGAATAAGTTTGATGCTTGCCGAAGGTCTGCGTTGTTAGAATATGGTTCAATGGTTGACTTTTTTTTAAACTTTCTGAGAGTTCAATCAGAGGGAGGAATGAAAGCTTCTTTTTAATCCAGGTCAAGCCCACCAAAAAAAATGTTGCACTACAAAAAGAATCTAGAAATAAGTCAACATTTCTTAAATAAAGTTTATTTAGCCTTAATTTCAGGTGGTAAATAAGATAATTTGCCAATGGAATGAGTGCTTTTACTCTTAAAAAAAAAAGATAATTAGATAATATGCACTTGAAATAAGAAAATGCCATTATTATTTCTTATTTTGAATGTAAATCATCTTGTACCATTGGCAAAGTGTGTCACTTACCTCCTCAATTCCAGACAAAATGCCCTTATTTTAAAGTCCTAGGGAAATCATGTGTAAATGTCAAATCATTCCGGCTTAAACATGTATATAAATATACTCTTTATCAGATGATATTGTCCCAAAATTTAGAACATTTCTATTTAAAAGAAAAAAATCCTGTC